ACCTCCACCTCCAGCTGCCAGACATTCCACCTCCATCCCCTCAGTTTCCACTATTGTTGAGGAAGGAGATTCAGACGACGAAGATGAGGAGGAGGAGAAGAGTGAGGACAAGAGTGATGAGGAGGATACTAATGATGACAACGCTGAGGATGATGGGGGTGATGAATAGGATGTTATTATTTTTTTTTGTCCTTTTTGATTTTGGGTTGTACGTAGCTAGAAGTAGATTTATCGGCCTAGTAGAAGAGTCTTTAGGAATTTTAGGCCGTTTTGTCTCTTTTTGAATTCTAACTCCATGTACTCAACTTTTGAAAGTAATTAATGAAATGCCATAGTTGTTGGTTTATCTTGTCCAAGTTCATTTCTTTAATTGCATTATGATTTTTGTATTTAGAATGTTTGGTGAATAACTTGTGTAAATGAATTGTTGTAGTTTCATACTCGTTGATTTGAAATTAAACTTTGCTAGGGACTAGCATAGCTCAAGTTGGGGGGTGTGATTAGCACGAAATATTACATATCATGTGTGCATTTACACCCCTTTCATACTCTCTTTTGTGGTGAAAATCAGAGGAATTGCAATGTTTCAAGCTTTTAATGAGATTTGGTGTGTTTTCAGGTAAAAAAGCTTACATGGTGCATGTTAAGCCCCTATCATAGTGTTTAAAGTCAATGGAGATGAGGGGGAGGCTTGACGATGGCTTGAAAGGTGAAAGAACCAAGAATTGAGCAAAATAAGTTAAACCTACCGGTAGGTTTTTCATAAAACTACTGGTAGGTTTTGGCTACTAGAGTTGGTTCCACCGGAAAACTATCGCAAGGTTTTGGCTACTAGAGTAAAACCTACCGGTAGGTTTCGCCATCGCCTTACCGGTAGATTTTCCTGAAAAACGCCAGATTCTGTAACTCAAGCCCTACCACATGAGGGTCCCACCTATGGGTCTCCCACTTGTCCCCTGACATCCATTACACACAAACATGCCTCCCCAACCCTAGGCTTGGAATTTGAAGGCTCAAGTATTAATAAGGAGGAGAGAGAAGAGGAAAGCCTAAGAGTTGCTAGGTAGGCTGTCCTAGCCTGCCCCATGCCATCACTTTAGCCTCCTATGGACGGGAGAGCTGTCACACGCCTAGGGGGACCTCCATGGACGAATTTGCAAGCTTCATTAAGTATTAAACAGATTGTATTGCATTGTAGATAGAGAAGCTCATGGAAAAGGAGATATTTTTAGAGAGAGAAAGCTTAGATTTTTGCATTTCTTATGTCCATTTCACTTGTAATCTTCTGTAAGACTATTGTAAGCTTCATTTATTACCTTTAAGTTCATTTATTACAAGTACATTGCAAGTTTAGTTACACATTTTGGATTCTACCATTGTTGTTTTGAATTTTCTTCATTTTAAGCTTGTAAAATGGGTATTAAATGTATTTCTTCATAGTTTAAGTTTTGTTGCATTAAACCAAGTTCCAATCTTCATTTCTTCATAATGTCTCTTTACTTCATTTATGTTCTTGAACTAAACATGAGTAGCTAAGCTTGAAGTTGGCTATTCCAAGGGAGAATTCCTCTTGGGTACGCTAAATCAACTCTTTTTCATTTATCCTCATAGTGTACAAGGGTTCAATTTGACTAGGTTGAGTGTGGACGTGGTTGTGAGTTCTTGCTACACCGTAGACTTGTCACGGGATATGCTTAAATCTTCACCTTTATTTTAGTCCCTCGCTTCTTACGAATCAATCGAACGTCTAATCACCACTGGACGAATGGCTTGAGTTGATTTGGCATTCCCATTGGAATGATCTCTTCGGATTAGCCAACACTTGTTTCCATTACATTTCTACAACAATCTTCACTCACCAAAACACCAACTACAAGATTTTACACTTTTCACTTTTGACCAAAATCACCTTCAACATAATTCCCTTCCTTCCCTAAGGAGACGACCTTGGAATACAAATTTCAAGTAAAACATGACCCTCGAAAGTCTCTCTACGCTTGGAGAGCACTTTTGTACACACACGTTTGCCCCTTTTCTTGCATCATTCCGAGGGAGAGTGACACTTCCTTACACACATAAGCCATATACACATTTAAAGGTAATGTGCGGAGATTAGGGCATATGATAGGAAAAACAATCAAGCAGTAGCTTCACTGGAAATCTTCATGAGACAAAACTCGTCTACTAGAGATCACCTAGGGTTTAATGGCTTGTTGCATACGCTAAATACAATCATGAATTCTACGAAAGTGATTTTATTTTGTTTTTTGTTTTTATTACTAGGGACTAGTAATGTTTAGGTTGGACGGTGTTATTAATCCTAATTAGTGCGTAATTTAATTAGGTTAATAGGTCAATTATGTTAGTTAAAAGAATTAAAATAGTCAAGATATACAAAATTAGGGTTAGTGTGTAAATCAGGGTTAATGCACTAATTGTTGTATTTTTCAGGGTTTTGTGCTTAAATGCTACAAAGTAAAGAGGAGCAATATGTCATAGTCAAATTAGTAAGAGGGTCAAAGAGCAATTAAATCAAATCAAGCAAGGAAGCAACCCACCAAAAACAATGGAATGCCACCGTCCGAACGGTGATGGTGGCATCCGGACGGTCAACAAACCGCCTTAAAGCCTCTTGTCCTCCCATTGGCTGGTTTTATGCAACAAAAGCCCTAATTGGCCCATTCTGCCTCCAACCGCCTCAAGTAGCTCCCTAGCCTTCTATAAATAGCCCTTGCCAGCTTCATTTACAGCGTTCCGTCAGAGAGAAATCTAGAGAGAGTAAAGGGAAGTCTAGAGAGTCAAGGATATTCAGAAAAGAGTCACATACAGTTAGTAAGTGAGAGGGAGTTAGAAGCAATGAAGCAGAGCCCTGCCGAACCACTTCCAGACAGCTTTCTAGCCTACTTTCCAGCCGAAGCTTTTCTTTCTTCTACATTTATGTTATTCCTTTCTACTTTGAGGGTTGAACCTCTCCCACTTTTGTTCCCTAATCGTTATTAAGAGTGGTTGTGTTTCAACTATTCCTCAAGAAATGAGTGTCTGTGTTTTATTTTTGTATTGTAATGGAACTGTCTCGCACCTCTTGTTCGTCTATATCAATGAGACGTGAGTAGTCCACTTTTACCCTTAGGTGAAGAGTGAACATATGTAAGATATTGTTTGAGTTATGGAAATGCCGATGTTATAACTATGCGTTAATGTTATATCTACCTCCCATATTGATGGATGGTTACATTTCTAATATGGTCATGGTTATGAACATCGAGCGGTACCTAATGTTATATACCTTACTATCTGCTAGTTATGTACTTCATGCATGATACAGTGATGTACGTGATTAGGCTTTACATAATAGACAATTGATTGGTTATAGACGGGTTAAGTCTCGGTAAAGTCAATACTTTTGATTCAATGTGTAAACCGAAATCTCATCATCAATGAATCATTAACCTGTTGGTCAGATAACTGAAGTATTCCTCTTGAATGACTCGTCTTCTAGTTTACTAAAGTTATTTGACTGTTGCATGGTACAGATGTGCCGATTAAGTAATTCAAGTATTCCTCCAGAATGGCTTGCCTTCTAGTTCACTCAAATTATGTGATTGTTGCATATAAATATACCTGCCAGCTAACCTAATCAGTTGTTGGATAGGATTTAACATACATTATACCTATCGGTTGACTTTTCAGTAAAATGGAGGTTAATTGTTGTAAAGTGGCATTTTCAGTACTTAATCAATATAATGCGTATGAAATCCCCGAATTGAAGGGTATTTTTTAATGATCGCATCTCCACAATTTTAATTAAAGTTTGTTTTAATTGCTCTAAGCTCGCACCACAAGCTATTTCTACTACATTTTGTATCTGTAACAACTTCACCGTTATGTTTTTGATTTCCAATATTAGCTCCATGAGGGTTCGACCTCGAACTTAAACCAAGTATTATATTGTAATTTAACCACTTATACTTGGGTGTATACCACTATTGAGGCTGAATGTGAGTCACTCAACTCATGTTCTCAAGAATTTATTCCCTTCACCATAAATCTCTCTAATTTCTATCACCTTCCAACTTTTGAAACTGCAAGCAATGTTTAAGGCCATATCCTTTGTCTGACATTCTCTCAGAAGGCCATTAACTTGGACCCACTAAATAGTTGAATCAAAAGATATATCATCTATTGAATGGCTTCATGAACACTGTTTGAAAATCAGAAGTTGATTATCAAAGTACCATTGCCCTTGATTTAACACCCTCCCCATGTCCTTTTCCTCTTTAAAAAAGAACTGCAACACATTAGAAGATGCTTTTGTTGCTTTTAAGCCTCGACACTTTTATACACCTAGCAGGGCCAACCCTAGGCATAGAGCACTAAAGCCCCTAGGGCCCCCCAATTTTTTTTAAGATTCAATAAAAGTAATTTTAGGGCCCTTAATTTTATCTAGTTTTGTAATTTTAGATACAATTTGTGAACTAATAAAAAATTGACACAACATTAATGAGTTTGAGTTTAGTCTTAATAAATTTGGATGATTAATTGATGAAAATATTTGGCCACTCAAATCAGCAAATCAACATGACTCCAACGAAATGTTACACAACTTCATTAAATTATAGATGATTATAAGTACAATAGGAATATATTAAGTAAATTATGACACAATATGATTGTATGATTATTCTTATATTACCTTTATTTTTTCAGTCTTACTTATGTTTATATAAATATTGAAAAAATAAGTTATCTTTTCATGCAATACTTTTAATTTATTACAATAAAGGTCAATTGGATAATTAATTATTTATCCCCTAATTTTTATAAATTATAGTTTTTTCTTAACTTAAATTGAGACCTTTTTTTATCTAGATCCGTTTTTTGTTCAATTATTATTTTTAAATACACAAGAAACACATAAAGAATGATAGAAAAACATATTAAGTTTGAGTCATTTACAATTCAAAATTCTTACTATATTCAATTTTTGAAAAATAATTTAGTTGTATTAGTTGGCCCCGAAGTCATCGCTGTCGCCAAAAGTGCCCTCAAACTCGCTGGCTCGCTCGAATGGATTGAATTTGAGTTGAAGGAAATGCCTGTGGGTGGAGCCGCCTTGGATTTGACCGGAGTTCCGTTACCAGAGGAGACCCTTTCTGCAGCGAAGCAATCGGATGCGGTTCTGCTTGGAGCAATTGGAGGGTATAAATGGGATAATAATGAACAACATTTGAAGCCCGAAACTGGATTGCTTCAGCTTCGGGAAGGTCTTCGCAAATTTGAGGCCAGCTTCTGTTCTACCACAGTTAGTTGATGCTTCAACTTTGAAGAAAGAGGTTGCCGAAGGTGTTGACCTAATGGTTGTAAGGGAGCTTACAGGAGGTATTTATTTTGGAAAACCGAGGGGTTTTAGCATGAATGAAAATGGTGAGGAGATTGGTTTCAACACAGAGGTGTATGCAGCCTATGAGATTGATCGCATTGATCGCATAGTATTTGAGAGTGCACGGAAGCGCCGACAGAAACTGTGTTCTGTGGATAAAGCAAATGTTTTGGAGGCATCAATGCTTTGGAGGAAAAGAATTATTGCAATAGCCTCAGAGTACCCTGATGTTGAACTTTCACACATGTATGTCGATAATGCTTCAATGCAGCTTGTTAGTAATCCAAAGCAGTTTGATACCATTGTAACGAACAACATTTTTGGTGATATCTTATCGGATGAGGCTTCAATGATTACTGGAAGCATTGGGATGCTTCCATCTGCTAGTCTTGGTGAATTGGGACCTGGACTTTTTGAACCCATACATGGTTCTGCTCCTGATATTGCTGGAGAGGATAAAGCAAATCCCCTGGCAACAGTGCTAAGTGCCGCAATGCTTTTAAAGTATGGCCTAGGAGAAGAGAAGGCTGCCCAAAGAATCGAGACTGCAGTGCTGTATACATTAAATAGAGGGTTTCGTACAGGTGGCATACACTCGGCAGGAAATAAATTAGTAGGATGCAAAGGAGAAGGGCGAAGAAGTATAGAAGTCCATAGATCCTAAATTTTTGCTGCCATTTGAGTTCAGAGAAAGAAGAGGCCTATAATAAGAGGCACAGTCCCTCCAGTATTTTTGTTTTCCAAGAGGATCTTTAGAGAGAGATAGATATTCATGGAGCTCAACAGGAAGACAATTTTCTTGGATCTCAGTTTCACAATGAATTCTGGTCTAGTTGATTCGGACCTTGTGCAGTATTACCCGGTTTTCGACCTCCATGTTTTTTTAGGCCCCTTTCCATTTATTTTACCTTATTAATTTGCTTAGGAATTGATTTCTTGGGCAGCATTTTAGAGTGTAGTATTTTATCTGGAACTTTGTATGATTATATAACAAAGTCAAAGTTGTTGCTCAATATAAATCTCTTTGGAAAAAAAAAGTTGTATTAATATATTTTAATTTTTTTCTCTATTTTTTTAACCGATAGTAGATTAATAGCACTTTTGATTCTTAAAATATACACGTTTTGTCAGTTTGGTCCCTAGAATATCAATTTTGTCAATTTTGTCCCTAAAATATCAAATATAAGAAAATTAATTTTTAAATGAATATATATTAATATTTTAGTATTTATTTTATCATATCTATATTATTTATATTGGGTTAATATCACTTTTAGTCACTAAATTATGTATTTTTTGTAAGTTTAGTCTTCGTTGTATCAATTTAGTCCCTGAAGTATTCAATTCGTGCATTTTGGTCCCTACATAGACAGACTGTCAAGTTTTTTTATAAAAGTGACAACGTGCTATTTTTTCAGACGGTATTACGTGTCAAACTCATGATCATTCTCCCAAAAAATTTGATAGTTCGTCTATGTAAGGATCAAAATGATACGAATTAAATACTTTAGGGACTAAATTGACAAAATTGATATAATGAGGACTAAACTAACAAAAAATACATACTATAGGGACCAAAAATGTAAAACCCCGAGCATGCATGTGTAGGAAAAATATTAATAGAAAAATAAAAAATAATAAAAAAATATTTTTATAGTGCATGTTTTATTAGGTATGTAACTACAAAAATTAATTAAATTAAAAAAATTTTAAAATCAAATTTAAGTAATTTACGAAAATACCATTGCATGGCATTTCCTTCCAAGCTGCTGCCTAGCAGTAGCAGAGCTCTCCCTAGCCTTCTCCAAGCTTCCAAAGTGTTTGAGGAGGTGCTCAAGGCTTCAACTGGTCTCTGGATAAGGTAGAACTACAAAGAGGAGAGAGAAATAGATTAGAGAAGGTAGAGAGAAAAAGTGCAAGAATTGGATTTCAAATTTTATTTGGAGCGTTGTTCGAACGATTAAAGGTATACATCTAGTCTAACTAGGATGCTAGAAATCCATTGGTGGTGTTAGTTTTTGATTTGGGTAAGTAATTAAGCTCAAATTCGAGTTTTAAAGTTTCAGGGTTTTGGTTTTCTTGAAATGGGTTCATGTATACTCTTCATTCTAATTTAATTAATCCATATGGTTGTGTGTCTAGTAGTTCAAAGAGTGGTTTGGTGGTGGGTTTGGATGTTGCCCTGGTTGGTGGTGGAGGTTTGAGGAAGGTAAAGTTTGAAGGTCAGGATTAGTGTTCTTGAAAATTTGGACTTGTTAATCTTGCGTTTTTTAAGTGTAAAGGGTATTGTCCTAGACTAAAAAGGACATAAGGAGTCCATTTCAACCATTAAAATTGCATTTGGTTGATGTTTGGGGGGTCAAAAGACCACTTGCAGGTCTAGCCATAAACCAAAAACCTTATTTTTGTGTTAACTTTGACCCTTTTTTTATTTTTTTTTGATGAGTTTATGCTTAATTCGAAGCTTTAAAATCATGGGGTTTGTTAAATGATGCATGGTGAGTGTTAGGTTCAAAAATTAGGAGGAATGGTGTACTATAGAGGGAGAAAAGGATGGGAGAAGTTGGGTAGTTGAAGCTTAAAATAAGAAACCTAGGGTTTTGGTTAAGGAGTTCGTGGAAGAAGATGAAGGAGGATGAGGTACACCAATGCACCCCATCAGCGTGTGAGAGCGCGTCTGACCTCTGATCAACATTTGGTCAATGCCAAAAGTTTCGTAATGTCCGTGCAGATGTCTCGGTAAAATTTCAAGTCGACCCAACTGCTGGATCAATATGAGGATTGAAATAACTTTTTTTGCCTCCGGGGCCAATTTGACCCAGTTTTTGGGTGATTTTGGAAATAAATTTTATATTCATTCTTAGGTAGGTTAATTGAGTATGTGTATGACATTTCATTGAAAAATAACATCATCTTATTTTTGGCTATTTTCGATCGAAAAACAATGCAGGGTAGGGTTTCTCAATTTTGGATCACTTGAAACTTTTCATATTCATTTGTAAATCATATCTTACATTATTTATGAATTTTTGACATATTTTAGAACTTATGATTGTTTTTTTTTTAATTTAGCCTAGAAATCACGAATCCGGATTAGAGTTTTGAGTGCGGTAACACATAGTGGTCTGAAACGTTGGATTTGATTGCATAAAATGAGATACCAGATTCCTTTTAAATTAATTGTAAGTGCATATTGGTTGAGTGGCAACAAGGGTTTACATTCTAGTTTGAGGTTGTAGAGGATACTAATTGAGTTCGTGAATGCTTGAGGGGTTAGTTGGTTTTTGGACTTTGAGTGCTGAAATTAAGTTATGGTGAACACGAAACGTCATGAAACATATTCATGTGCATTGATTTGCATCAGTTAAGCTATTTTTGATTTAATACTTATTTGAATTCATCAATGTGTTAACTGTTAGGGTCAAAGGCTAGTACATCGGTTACACATAGAGATCGATCGTAAAAAAAGGAGGGGTATTTGTCAACAGTAAAGATGAAGTATACTGCTTCATAATAATTGAAAATAAAAATATATGATATATCAAGTTTATTCTCTTGTATGTGACAGATTATTTTATCGAATTGATTTGAGTTGAGTTGTTTAAACTATGGATTAAATGTGCTTTTATAAAAAGCTTGCGATTTAAGTATTATCCACTATGCTGAGTAGTTGATAGCTTGACATGGCTTACATATTGTTGATTTGGACACAGTGCGGTTGTCGTAAGACAACTTGACATTGCTTGAATGTTGTAGGTAGTCTGACATTGCTTATATGTTGTTGTTTGACTTGCTGCTTATGTTGATATTTACTATTTTGATATATGAGTTTGATTTGAGTTTCAAAGTGAGTTCAGTTCACTTTGGTTGTGATTTGCGAGCTATGAGTATCTTTTGGATAAAATTATATTTAATCTATATTTTTGTTATATTTCCTTTAATGATGATGTTCAGTACACTTTAAAAAATTATTGGTTTCAGGATACTAAAGTCTAGAGTGAGATCCACTATTGCACTAGCATGGTACAAAATTGGGAAAAACTAAGGAATCAAGTTATGTACATATTGTATAGGATTGTTTGTTTTCCCTGTTGTTATAAAGAGACGAAATACTTAATCTTTTGTTTTGATACAAACGACATCATTGTGTACTCTATTATATAGCTTAGATGTTGTTGGTGTTATTATGTGGCATTATTGATTTTAAATGCGTTATTGCATTACAAATCTAAGTATTACCACGTGTTAAGTTATACTTCCATCTCTGAGAAACGAAAGAGAGTCTCTCAAGATAAGGTGTGACAAAAAATACTATATTATATTTTATAGCATTGGACCCCTCTGTATATTTTCCCCTATGGCCTCCATATTGGTTGGGCCGCCCTCGACACTCAACAAAGTACTGCTCAGGACTCCCAAATTCACCAACTTGGTCGAAATAATTTTCCCATATTTATTTTTTAACAGATTTACTAGTCCCTTGACAATGCATTTAGCGTTAAAGTCTAGTTTTTAAGTCTATCTAGCATTACTCGAAGATTAAGGGTGAGGCTATTCCACCCTAAAAATACGTATTTCTATCTTCATTTAATTTCTTATTATTAAACTATTAAGCATCAGTGGGCCTTTAGTCCAATGGTACTACTTGTCTTGTAAAGGATTTGCCTTGTTGAGGTCAAGGGGTTCAAGTCCCCATTCCCCCTCTCAAAAATTAAAAAAAATAAAAATAAAAATATTAAACTATTAAGCCTATATTTTCTATACCTACTCCATTAATAACTAAGTTCACTTCATGTTATATACACCCATTTAATAAATAAGAAAAAAGAAAAGAATGAAAAAGAAAGAAATGAAAAAGAAAGAAAGTTGTCACCGAAAAAATAAAATTTGAAACAAGTTTTCTGCGCGTGCACACACACACAAAAACACAAACACACATATAAATCCTAAATAAAAAATTATTGAACTTGATAGAGATACCAAAACACAACAAAAATAATGAAAATCCACACAGGATACATGAAATCAAATATAAAATTAAATCGAGAAGTAATACTAACTTGTTTTTCATTAGAGAGACCCATATTAAAAAAATGTTTTTTTGAGTGTGTTATATAGGATAATAAATGAACCCTAATTGTTGGAAATATAAGGTGAACTTATTTATTAAAAGGGTATGTATAATATGAGTTAAGTTTGGCAATTAATAGGGCAAGTATAAAAAATGTGGATTTAATATTTTAATAATAAAAAATTAAAAAAGATGAGAATGAATATTTATGGGGTAAGAATAATCCAACTCGAAGATTAAAAGGCCACTCTTGAGACTATCCCCATTCCTTAAAACCAAACTCAAACTTAAATTTGAGTAAAAGGCCTAAAAATCGTCTCTAATCCTTCACTCAACATACCAAATTAAGGGAGAACCAATCTTTTTACTCAAATTTTTTTGAGCCAAAATTAGACCCTTCATCTCTCTATGTTGATCAGCAAAGAAGACTTTCCCGCCAAAGTGACCATGGAATCACCTCTCTCTGTCAATCTGCGAAGAAGAGTTCCGCGCCAAAACTGAACCATCCTCCATCTCTCTTCCCTTCGGTCACCACCAGAGGTAATTTTCTAACCCTAGGGGTCGTCGGCTTCCTGTGGGTGTGGCTTTTGAACAGATATTGTAATCCTCTCATCCACAGTGGCCTCCCACAATAATTTTCTCCCAGATTAAGGAGCTCTATTTTTTCCGCTGAAGATTTAGAGACGACCTTCATCTGAAAACACTCTCCATACTCATCGGCAAACCCAAATTCAAACCTCTAATTTTCAAAGATTCAGTTCCAGTGGACACTCGCAATACTCATCTTCAAAGCCAAAAATCAAATCTCTAATTTCAAAAATTCAGTTTCAAGATTAACCTTTCTTGAAATCTTCTGAAAACACTCGCACAAACCAAATTTTAAGCGTCTGATTTCAAAAGATTTCATTCCAAGATTGTTCTTTTTTGAGAAATGAACTTTTGAGACAATAAGAGAATTTTTTTAAAAAAATTGAGTAAAAATTTGATTTTGCTCGTTGAAAAGATCTATATCAAATTAAATTTTTTATTTAAATTTGCATTTAAGTCACTATTAAAGATGCCCTCGTAATAGGACAACATATACAAAGGAAATAGTAGCACCAACGCGGGAGCAAAAGTAATAATAAAGACAAGTCTAAACAAGTCTAGGACAAAAGTAGAACAACTTTAAGAAATGAAAAAGACGAGACAAAGACAGATAATTATGGACCATTCTGCTGACAAGAGAATGAGAAATCAAGAGTCCTAAGGAAAACCAAAGGAGAGAAGAAAAGACTCAAACAAAGCTTTATGAAAAACTTGTTGAGTCATCCATCCTTTAGGTGAGCCAATTTAATAACAAATTGACTTACAACTGTTAGACATGTTTGATAAAGGCATATTACCACATCAGTGAGAAAGAGGGCGCTACCTACCAATGACAATACAAGTCTGGATAGAACGCAATGGTTAGAATCATGTAACTGATCCCAAATAATTGGGATAAATCTTTGTTGAGTTGTTGAGCAGTTGAGCAAAATAAGATCAAATCAGTAACTAGACATGAACAAAAATAGCAGACAGAAAAATATTGATTGAAAATAACTAATAAGATTAATTGATGGTTAACATAAAATAATTTTTGGTTATAGTCCCATTTACATATGTACAGTGCATAATCCAAAAAGATAAGAAAAAGGAAGAAGACCATTAATCTGTCTAAGGCAGTCAGTGATAAAGAAGAATTAGACTGCATTGCCCTTGAAGTACTTGTGAAAGCATTCTTCTTCACGACAGAATTTGTAGACAACTTTGTATACTTCAATCAAGAGTTTAGGGAACCTACTGGTAAAGTAGCCATTAAATCCTTCAGGTACTGGTCCTATAATTACCTGAAATAAACCCCCAGGATAAAATGCAGTTTTGCCATAAATGTAAATACAAAGCAAAATATAATAAAGAAAATAAAAGGTAAAACTAGAATGGATAACATCAAGTAAAACTATGATGACAGTAATATTATTGATAAATGCTGGTTCCATCTAGGGTGTTTACCCTACCCTACGGGTAAGAAATATGCTCTTCCATCTTCTTATCTGATATTTTGCGGAAGAATTTTTTCTTCGCCTACACTATCCGATCAGGTGTGCTATTCTTATCCGACTTCCTACCCGATTAATCGGGTAGGAAGTCGGGTAAACACTTTTATAGTTATGAATTTTTGAATCATTTTAACAATTTAATTAAATAACATGCACCAATTTAACAACACAATAAATCAACAAAACTAAAATCTAAAATAACTACAACAACAATTATAATAAAACTTAAGAAAGTATGAACATCAATCCACCACAATTGTTTCACAAATACAATATCAATTATTTTAAATTTAAACCATATAAAATACATTAAAATTATAATTGCTCTGCCTATGACATTTCATTCATAAAGAAATGATCTGTGAACAAAAACAAGAAACATTAGAATAAAGGCTTGCATCTGGTGATCACAACATGAAGTGATAAAAGCTCCTTAACATTATGAAGTAGTAAACCCAAAATATATAAATATCAGAATAAAGTGAAACTCAAAATGTTTTTAAACAAAATCCAGGCATACCATGATGTAATCGAAGATACAAATTTAACATTCATACATAGCTAACAGAGGCTTGTAAGTATCACAAAAAATCAGAGAAACAGTTTTGTCAGAACACAAATTGGTCCAGTAAAATGGGTTGTATTGGAATTTCAAAATGAGTTTAATCTTTATATCTTCTCAAATATTTGTAGATCTACTAAGCCTACAGATTTCAGTCGCAACCAAAAACAGAACATCACAAAACCAACCTCCTCTATACCAGTGAAACTCAAACCCCAGTGCCTCTGACACTCAAGCCTCAACTGACATTGGAAAAACAGACCAAAGGCTCTCAAGAAAATAAACTTTTAAACAATAAACAAACAAAACTCACATGCTTTGAAGCTCAAGCCTCAACTGGCATTGGAAAAGCAGACCAAAGGTTCTCAAGAAAATAAGTTTTTAAACAATAAACAAACAAAACTCACATCCAAAATAAGTAGTCTCTGCAACTTCAAGTAAACATACATCAAACCCCAAAAAAGTGAAAAATGACAACAGAGAACCTGACCACACCAGATCTCGCACACGCACACGCACACACACACACACAGAGTACCTGGGAATGGGACTAAACGATGAAGGAGGAGTGGAGTGAGGCGCGACCGTGTGAGGCGCTCGTACAGGACTCAATAGATGATTAGGATTTTTGTAGTTTATATATATAAATTAATTAATTTTGCAGGTAGAGTAGGGTAGGAATGCAGAAATTGATGGTTATTCTGCATTCCTACCCGATTTTTGCGGCTAACCATTCAGTAGAGTAGTGTAGGGTCAGGTCAGATAGGAAATTGCGGTCAATAAAAAATTTGAACACCCCTATACAGTAGACCGGGGTGAGGACGGAGCCATGGGGACTAATCTCCACCCTCGTACCCCTTCAAAAATATTTGTCCACCCTCAGAGAAAATCTTAATCCTCATCTCCACCCCGCGGATAAATTTTGATCACCGTCCTCATTCCCGTCTCCACCACCATCCCCACCTATAACGATTAATTTGTATTATTTTAAGAAAAAATAACAAAAAAATCATAAAACCTCATAAATAGATTTTCAAGAAAGATGAAAACTCATATAATATCGATACTATACTAGTAATAAAAGTACCTTAAAATAAAAACATTTTGAATATCTATTTTACCCTTATAAAGGATTTGCAAAGACCACTCAATTCTTTCACAATTAAATATTTAAATTACCATTATATCCTTATGTCTTTAAATCTCTAAATTATCTATAACATCTCTTTTAATTATTTAATTAATTTTTATAATTTTTTTGATTGATTATATTAACTTTAAAAAAATATGTATTATTATATTTTTAATAAAGTATTCAAAAATTCTTCAAAAGTCCATTTGTATAGATAATAGTATGCCTATATACATATTATTTTTTTATTTCAAAAAATTCAACCCTTTTGTTTTTAAGAAAAAAATTAATCATATATATATATATATATATATATATATATATTTTAAATTAATTTATGCTAAATCAATATAATTCTTTAGTCACAATAAATTTTTTAAGTTGTACTAAGCTTTTATATAAAAATATATATTTTAGTTTATTTTTAACTAAAATTAATTTTTTTTAAATTTTGATATGCTTGATAATATATATTATAGAGTAATTTATTAAATCTTATCCCAATTGACCTAACTAATTTCTAATTACAGTAATGTTCCAATATAATTAGTATATTGATAATTATTTTTATTTTATTCAAGTAGAATCCTAATAAAATAAATTTTAAAAAATTTATTTTCTCAAACTTAACTACAAAATCAATCTCAATCACAAAATTCCAAAATAATAGAACTTTAACTATTTTATTTTTATATAGTTAGAACAAAAAATTTTGGGAACATACAAAGTTTTCATAATCGTATAATAAAATATGCGTAATAAAAAATTAACCTTAATAAAATTGAGACGATATTTATTTAGATACACATATACCTGATATGTTTTATTAATTTTTGTGTACAGAAAATATTCACGTGTAACGCACGTGGTGCATTGCTAGTTATATAACAAATGAATCAAATATAAAAACTCACCAAAATAATATTTATAACAAATGTGTATTTCACTTAATTATTTTATTTGTTCATATATATATATATATATATATCAACATCTGTGAAATTTTTTTAATTTTCTATTTTATCCCTAATTATTATAATAAAATTAATTATATCCAACTATATACTTTTATCTAATTTATGTTTTTACACTTATTTTACTTTCAACTTGTTTTGGACTCTTTTATTAGAACTTCTAAATTCTTTTGAACTCATTTATTAGTAGTACAATTACTTATATATATATAGATATATATATATATATATATGAAGAAATAAAATCCTATATATGTTAAATTATTATACACATATGGTCACCGATTGAATTTCACGGTCGAATATATATTATATTTTATTTTTTGATATGTAATAATATTATAAACAATCTAATTAATCTATTTAACAAAATAAAAATTAGTAATTGTATAATATAATTAAATGTACAAATACCTAAAAGTGTCGAAGAGATATCTAAATAAATGAGAACTTAGGTATTTAAAAACTTATAGAATCAACCATTAATTAAATTTAGCAATAATTAAAACATGCATTAATTATTTGACACCTAATTTATTATTTAATTTAATTACACATAATTCATATTTTTTATAAAAATAATATTATTTAAATTTATTTACGTGCAACACACAATATGCATTATTTGTATATATATAAAACTGGACAAATTTCAATAAATTCATTTGAAGGTCTTAAATAGACTCATCCAACAGCTACCAACATTTCTCTCAAAACTATTCACATTGTACCGTGCCTAAACCTTTAGGCACGAGTTATCCCTAATGGAGCAGGGTGGGGTGAAGACAAGACAGGGATGACTTTCAATTCATCTCACCTCCATTCCTGCACGGTTTTATACAGATATCCCCATATACATTTATCGTTTAATACGTATGGTTCATCTCCGGTCTAAACATAACAAGTTTGGATAATTATTTATTTTTTCTTGGTCCACTGCTATCCCTAAGTAAAACTGCCTACGGGTATGCATGCTAGTCGCATATGGGAGCTTTATAAGCACTCAATTTTGTAATGGATCACCAAAATCGATACATATTTAAAGAAGTGAACCTGAATTTCAGTAGGAAGTTCTCTATAATGATTCAACTTGTTGCGCATGACTCGCAGCAAGTCCCGAACACTGTCAAACTTGTAACGCCGGTAACGTCCAATATTATTGATAAATGCTGGTTCCATCTTTTCATCCCATTTTCCACCCAAAGCTATTGGCACTATACTTTCTAACACCTTTAAAAGATCCGAATCAGTCTCCCTATCTTCCAATTCTACCCTGTCACTTGTGTCACGAAGAAATGACAGTCGCATCTCAGAACTCCAAAACAATGGATGGTGAAGCACCTCCCATGCCTTTGGTCTGCAACATATTACAAGTTCAGAAATTAAGATGTTCAAAAAATAACTTTCGAGTAACCTGTGAAGCTTATGACTGTGTACTACTAGTGCACAGATGCAACGGCGAGATAAATAATCAAATACTGACAGTTTGACCAATCTATGCCCTCACGCAGCACATTTGAGGCTATATTGTATTCCTTGATGTTATATTAGTTTTTATCCTTAGATGACCAGATACAGCCTTTCAATATATTTTCTATATGGAAGACAAAATGAAGTCATTTAGCCACAGATGACAGGTCCAAACCTGATCAAATGGCAGAAAGCTCTAGTCAGGTAGTATATTAAGTTATCGTTGTATTGGGCCAACTCACAAAAAAATATTCATCCTTACCTCATTTCAGCAATAGGATCTAATAGATGAGAGAAGAGATCCACAGCTTCAGGGACATATTCCACTAGAGAAAGGTCAACATGGTTTTTTGCAATATTGATATCACGTTCTAGACGGTTGCCGAATGGATGCTTACCACCAGTGATGCAGAAGAAGAGGACACAACCTAGACTAAACATATCCACTGCACGTGTTTGGCGACCATGAAGAAGCTGTTCAGGAGCTTGCCATCCCGAACTGCCATATCCTGCATATATTCAACCAGAAAATGTCACCATTTACTAATATGCAAATGAATGTCAGGATAGGTGGTGCCACATTGACGGTGATGGTCTCATAACTCAACTTGATTTTATTTAGCCTTGTTCTAAAGGTATTCCTATGTTGGATGTAAGGATGAGGAAAGATAAGTGGACTAAGAAAACCAACTACGTGGCAGCTGCAAATAACCACATAAGTTTACCATGCACTTTATTGATAGCAACTGATTTATTACTAGTACTTGCCAGTAGCATGATGACCCAAGGAAGACATGTCCCCAACTAGGCATTTGCTTATACCCATATCAGAGAGCTTTGCACATAAAGATCTTTCCTTAATTATTAATACATTTTGAGGCTTCAGGTCTCGATGAATTATTCCCAGTTCGTGCAGGTGCACAAGCCCAGAAACCATATCCCTGTGTTACAAAAATGAAACATAGAATCAAGTGAAGGAACTACATCCAAGTAAGCTGGCATAAACAAATGCGAATAGTTATTGAAATTCAGAAAGGGTATCTACCTTAAAATTATAATATCTATAGATGCACAATTCCATAGCCCCAATTCCTCTATTACAACTAAGTGTTGATTTCATGATCAGTATAAGAGATACTCTGCTTTTTCTTTTTCATGATGGTCACAAAGATATATTACAGAAACCATCACAACTAGAAAGAAAAATGTGAAATAATAATATTTCATGAACACCCTAAAATGTGCTTCTGCACATGTAACAAGATGATCATTCCGAATGTTTCTTGAAATGATTAGCTTCAAAAAGAAGTATGTATCCATGAAAAATATAATGGGAACGTTTCAAATTCAGTATAGAATATCATGGGATAGGTTTATCCCACTCCATCTAATCAATGAACAAGCAAAATTAGTCCCAAGCTTCAGAGTGGCCCAGCCTTTGTGGTACTGGAGCATTTCTTTCAAAAGACATGCCAAAAGACCAAGAGGAAAGTATTGAAACAATATAGATAATATCAGTGGTTTATGGCATTTTTTTGTTTTTGGGTTACGGCAAACATTGGGCTAAGGATAAGGAAAACATGCCATTTTATGATGGAAAGCACAATAATGGCATAAATAACATGAGGTAGGGACTTGTAATTTGAAAAATGCTGGTCCGAGTGTTTAAACTTACCTCATCAATTTTATTAATATAGAAGAAGGATAGCCATTTGCATTCCACAGGTTAGTGTCCTGTATAACAACACCCTTCACTGAATCCAAATGGACTCTATACTCAAGCATAGTTTCTGCATCCTGGTTCTTTGTAACTAACTCATCCAAATGTATCTGAATTAGATCATTTAAGCTGCACATACAGCGTTCCAATGAAAGATACACAAAATCTCGATCATACTCCACCCCATACCATCGTACAATATTTGGATGCCGGTCGGATGCAATAAGATTCTGTATTTCTTTTAAAGCAACATCATGATAGGCCTTGACAATGCGTTTTACAGCAACTGGACGACCTTCGAAAATTCCCTCAAGCACAATGGTACCATTGCTCCCCTTAGCAATCTCTTTAGTAGAAACAAATAATTTACCAATTGTACGTCCTTCCATGCCACTGGCACTAGGTTGGTTGAGGTTCAACCACAGTGTGTTATCATTCTCCATGTGTGTATGTTTATCCTCAAGATTAGATGAAGAGTCCCTCTTCTCAACAATGCTGTTATTCAGTGCAGATTTCCGACTTTTCCTCCTTTTTGAGGGCAGTGCATTCGGCTGGTCTTTCTCTTTTCTGTTCACCTTTTTTAATTTTCCTATCAGAGTGGCAAAGATCACAGGAATTATAACAAGAAACAGACACCAGGCACCAAATCGTTCAGATAGCATGCTTAATGCATCCCTATGAGGCACTTTATCATCTTGCACTAGGGACATTGCTGAAGTTTCAGTCAATGAAGGCAAAGTAACAACGACCTCAGTGTCACTATCTTGATGGGATTCCAGCAATATATCAACATTGGATGACGGAGAGGAAAAATCTGACATTTTGCCAACCTTTGGTCGTGAAGGAAGAATATGATGCGATGTGAGCATCATATCTTCATGCTGAGCCTCCATTAGCCTACTAGGCCTAGTGAAAGATTCTGAAATACTGTGACTGCGCAACCGGAAAACAGGCTTTGATTGACATGGTAATGGCATACTAAAGTGTAAATCACCTTCAGAGGGCTCTGAATCCAAAAGCGCCCCACTGAGTGAATTCTCAATGCCCTGACAAAGAAAAGCAGCACCAATTTCAGCAACGGTGAACTTCCAGAGAACTTTATTTGAGATTGGAACAAAAGACATCAGCGCAAAATCTGTCCTCGTGATGTAAAGTGGCAGTTCATCAGTCTTCAGGTTCATAAACCTGGACTGTTGTCGTTCCCCTGTAGTGGTCTTCAAAGAATACTGATTCTTTTCATTGTTCTGCGACGCGGTTGGAGCATCAGAGCTCCTGTAACTGGAGATAAGCCTTCCTGTCTTGGAATCAACCAGAAATACAGTAGTTTTTTTAGAGCCAAGTATGATACCACCATCTTCGGTTATTTGTGGTGTTGAACGGGTGAACTCCTCAACACTTATCCCAAGTTTCTGCAAAACATCAAAGCAATATAAGATACAAGAAACCTAAAATGAGTGACTGCAACAAGGAAATGTATACACTTGTCATATAAACATGTTATTCAAGTAGGAGCAAGGCTTTGTAGATTTGAGTTGAGTTGAAGCCCCTCTGCATTGTATCAGTCATGCACACCAGAATTTATATAGAAAAAGCAACTGATCCAAATGTTAACATCACCCAGCCTCGTGGGTCCAACAAAATTAACTTTATCATACATATGGGGAACTTCAGAGCCCGAAAGGGGTGAAAAAACATGCAAAAACTTCAGCTTTCTGAACTAAAAGCCAAATAATTTTAGACTTTGAAGAGGAAGTTCATGGCCTGGTGCCACATCATAGGCACACTAGAAGTGTAGATAATTGTAACCATATACATATGAAATGAGAGCAATGGAGTACCAATTCTCGGGCTTTATTTGTTAAGTCAATCTTCCTTTGGAATCAAAACCCAAAGTTCTATTAAATAGCTCATGCTTGACTAGCCAAAAAGATGAACAGATTCTCCAGTTCTGATTCTTTCTTGACCGGAAGAGGGTCACATTTCCTAACGGAATGTTACAAAAGAGCCAGGGAAGGGTTGAGATAGGTAAGCAGTCCGTTTGAAGGGTGGCAAAGAGCTGTTAGCGAAGGGGAAGGGGAAACCGATGATGTAGAAGGAGGTTGATCCATACTTGATCTCAACACTGACTTCCGAGATAGTGGAGTCTGATGGAGGACCGCATAGGTGGAGGAAGGGCCACACGAATAAACTTGGATCCAGCTGAAAAAAGAAGTCACATACAAAATGAAGAGAAAACATTCTCAAATTGACCCTCAACAGAACCGCAAGAGTTACATGTCAGTTCCAGCAGAAAGTCAGTAAAGCTATGGCGCACAGCACTTGGTTGTGATGCTTGCTTGAATGGTAGCCCAGGTCAACTGATTCAGATGCATGCTCAGTAGCACAATGAGATGCCAAGTTCTTTGACATCAAAAGATTGCATTCACAATGGCACGTGTCCTAGAATCACAGGTTAGAGTAATGCAGGATAACAACTTTTAATAGCTTGATCATAATTCTTTGTCTTGTTGAAAAGCTGTACAATTGAGAATAGTCTTGGCCAGGGGCAAGACTTTTAAGAAATAGGAGGATAGATTGCTCCAAAATGACCACATAAGTAAGTTTTTGGCTTATGGTTGCCAGCATCAATTTCTTTCACCGATGGGCAACCATTTCCCATCCCTTGCTACCAATGTCCATCCAGCTCCAAAGGCATGCCAAGGATATTTACTAATTGGATAAAATGCTTTGGTTTTCTTTGTCTTTCTCAATTCGGTGAAAAAGAGGAAAAACAAGCCACAGAAATTCACCAAATGAAAATCACATGAGAAAACACAATGTACACATGAATCGAGACAAAGCAAAAACAATTACCTAACAAATCCTTTAAACAGTCAATGTATATTGCACAATGTAGATATTGGTGCCACATCCAGAAAGCCACATATTTAAGTAGTATTTACAATATTATCTTTTGCTTGTCCAGTGGTGACCCATGACTTTGCCCCAGTAAAATATTTATTGTTTCACCTCCTCTCAGACAAACCAAAATAGGAGAAGGGAGCCGCTGCCTCTTGGCCTTACTCCATCTTGCCCAAGGAATCCAAAGAAAGTGAAAAAGATTCCTCATTACCTCAGAACGAACCAGCAAATGATTCCCTGTCCTTACCATATTGTACATATGACACCAATTTGGAAAATTTTGCCCCTTTTTTCCCCAGGTTACTATCATCAAAGAATGTATCAACTGAGAGAGTTGAGACAAAAAAGGCACCTTTAAAGTTATCTTCAGCCACCAAATATCTTTTCACAAAAGGTTAGAAACACTACCTCCCATCAACATGTGTAGCAAAGACATCAAAACTTCTCTCTCTTAGTTGGTTTCAACATTACAATATCTTCTATCAGCCCGGCCCACCTCAATCTGTAGAGTATATAACTATAGAGTCAATGTCTCTTAACACTCAATCCTGAACAGCCCCAGAAAGCTGCAATTGCCAGACCACCCCCTTTTAAGAAACTCCACATGATCAGCCTTAACTTATTATGTCATACTTCAAGAGAGGGAAAGAGCATGTGCAATATTTGCAAAAAATTTGAATGTTAAAACCCATACCAGAGTAGAAGGTGAGCATGTGAAAGGACCCCCTATGAATTTCTATTTCACTTTATGGTTATTGTACCCAGAAACTACCAACTAGAACTGCTCTAGCAAACCAATGTCCTAGGAGTCAGGTGACTCTATGCATAAAATTCAATCTTCCAGGATAAGTAATGGATGATTGGCATGTCAATCAGTCTGGAATGAATTACTAACTGGTCTTTCTATAGTAGGGCTTTGAACTTGTAGACGTGTTGTATCATGTAGTATTAACAGCACCCCCATTAACCCATCGTGGAATGGGCCTTAATAATGATTACTTGGACTCTATTAGACGATCACACAGAATGCCCGAGCTTTTGCATCACAGACACCAACCTCTATCACCTCTGCTAGTGATTAGAGCATGCTGAATAAGATTAAGGAACATGGTGCTTACTGCTTAGCATTCACGACCTTCACAATAGGATAAGTGGCTTTGATAGAATAGGTAAAAGTCATCTAGCACTAGCAGGAAGAACAAAGACAGATTATAGCATTCACTGGCTATGCAAGACAAGCTTAAGGCACACATGCCAATAATGGAAGAGGCAAAAGTTTCTTCAACCTCGTCCAAGAGGAGAATTGGAGAATTAATAAGAAATTAAATACTTAATTCCTGTTTTTCCTTTCTTGGGGGATTGGCAAGAGGCTGAGAACTTAGATTCTAAACTCTGTGTGCTTTGCATATTTTCAAGCTCCCTATGATCTTTGCAGATTCTCAGTAGTTTACCAATGGTACCACAAAATATGGAAAGGGCAAGATTACAACACATGAGACATTGCCAGCATAAGCATTCCATATTTCCATATCAGGGCCATCGAATACTCCCTGCTCATTCTCTTCGCAAGACCCCTGCCCTTGACTTATTTATTTCAAGCTTTATTTGTCCTTATTCCTCATTTTTCCACATTGTGTTGACATCATTTCCTCAGCTTATTTCACAAGAAACAGAACATAATAAACCATATAAATGAGAAAAAGCGGCAGAATTGATACATCTCACACCAAAAAAGGTATCAACAACGCATCAAATCCTTCATCAGATGGAGAACAGAGAATAAGATTCTACAAGTGGATAGACTTATTTTTTGGTAAATTGATTGCAAAATGCTTTTCTAGAACCCCCAATCTGATGCAAACCAAATTACTGACGAATTACATGCACTATACATGTTGAGTTAAGAGAACTAACTGGATCTAGATACCCCCAGAATTAATACATATGCAGATGGTCAATTTTTTCATCCAATGTAGCTCTGTTTGCAGTTCTGGGGCTTTGGTGACAATAGCATTCAAGAGCATTCTAAAGCATGCAAGAGGGGCCATAGTGTGTAGTGTAAAGAAATTCCTATGTCACTACCATCTTATCACAGAACTAATAAAAAAAGAATATAATCTAATTAATATGAAATGGGACACGACGTGTGGAGTCATGAGCTAAAACAAAGAAAACTTGTAATACCCAATTTAGCCCTTCAGGAGTTCAAACAATGATTACATGTTGTGAAAAGAGATGTCCACAAAAAAAATTAAGTAGATTCAATGTTATTTGATGTACTTGAAGGGCCACTCCAACCATTATCAATTGGTTTTGGATTGGATGCTCTAACATGGTATCAGAGCTATGTTCGAATCTCGCCGCCAACGTCACAATTAAAAGGTTTTCACGGGCCTACACGTGAGAGAGTGTATTGAAATATAAATACTTAAGTTATACCATTTTCAATAGTTTAAGCTTTTAGAAGACTTGGTTCTTTAACAAATATCATTTCATTGCCAAATGGAGACGTTACAAGATACAACTTTCTCATTGTGTTATAATTTATTTATATAACTCACATGATTGATGTATGCCAACATCACACTTCAATAATGGATATTTGCTTTAAATTCTCCTCAAGGTCCACCCTATCGCATGCTTAAACAACTGAGAAGCAACACCAGGGGAGCTGGCAACTTAAGCAGATAGAAACATCACATGTATTTTGTTTAATCCCTCACCATTTCTACTGTGAACTAATTATATTCCCCCAAAATTAAAAACAAAGATAAACACCAATGCCAACATGTATTTGCATTTGAAAACTAAGGTTCCGGACTAGGAGAGTTCAATTTGTCCGCAACAGAAATTAAAAAGACATCACGGGTGACCGTCTCAAAGGATGGACGAGAATTACAAAGGGGGCAAATGTGGATTAACCTCATGTTTTGAAGTATATGTCTCGGACAAGTCATATTTGTGACGACACCTTCCTTTTCAAGACTGATGCAGGGTATGCGGAAACCATAGCCTCACTCAACTCATGGTTGATTCGGAGATGTCGTAGACGACTCTGCCCATTTGTTTGAGTCATCATTATCAAAGCGCTATGTATCGTTCAATACTGTTTAGCAGCACATGATATGACACGAATCTCTCGTTATGCACAACTTCTTTACCTAGCAATTCAGGTGCATCAATTAAACCATTCTGCGATGTCACGACCAATGTGTCTAGGTGTCCTCCAAGTCAATGATCGATATCAAGATCTTGGACCAACCTTGTCCAATACTTAGCAAAAACTACAAACCACAGTCTAGGTTCTACATCAATATTTATTGGCCCATAACAATTGACCAAATCCAAAAAACATCGATACGAAGGCTAAAGAGAATTAAAGAGAAATTCGAAGGCGTACCCGTGGGGGTCCAAGCCTGTCGTGAGCATACAATTCCCAGTCATCCCCACAATCCATGAAAAAACCGCTTCCCATTCCAGATGCATTTTCCTTGTCATTATCATGGTCGAGAGGAGCTTGATATGAAGAGTAAATTTCTGGGCCTGACGTAAACGACCAGAGTGGTTTCATAGAATTGAGATCCAGGAAATGAACTGTACCATCCAGAGCAGCAACTAGCGCAGTATCATGTTTACTGTTTCAATGGAAGCCCAACAACAAATATACACAGCCAATGAAAGAAGTAGTTAAGTCAAGATAGAAGAAAAGGAAAAGAATATAACTTATATGACAGCTGAACACAACGCAATTCCTGTTGACATTTACAGAAATACATATTCCAGCTAAATTAGGCACATATGCTTAAGAAAACCTAAATGAAAGAAGCCAACAAATATGGATCAAAGGCAAACACCAAGAAAGTCAAATTGACCTACTGGCACAAAAGAACTAGAGAGAAAAGCTACCTACTAGAAATTATAGGGAAGACATTGACCCAGCATTCTGTGTGCATGCATGTATCATAACATCAGTCAAGTTCATGATAGACCATGAACCCAGATGTAGCAGAGTAATACTTCACTTTCCACGAGACAGATAATCAAACTACTTCTAGAAAGTTCACTTGAATTAAACAATCACAATGCCCTATTATTATGCCAAATACCATGTCACTAGCTATAAAACTTAATTAATTAGAATACAAGAGAAATTCAAAGTAAGTAAAGGGGAAAAGAAGACAAAAGCACATGGTTTAGCACATCATGCCTGCATCTCTGGACCAAATGTCCAATGACCTACATGTGATATATTATTCTTTAATAGTTGTACATGTCCGAAAAAACACCTATTTAAAGGTTGAGAAATACATTTGATAAAGATAAAATATCACCTATGCTTTTTTTTTTATTTGTTTTTTATAGGAAACAAAACTTTCATTTCATTAAAGGATGGAAGTACACAAAAATGATGGATACGAAATCCATCCCAGAAAGCAAAATGATATAAATAAGAAATAAGCAACAATTATGAACTACAAACGACATTCAAATCGTGTTGAAAAACTGATAAAGTTGTGCCTAGAACCACTTTTTCTTACCATCATCTATGTTTATTCGAACTATGAGGAAATTGTTGGATATCCTTAGATCCTATGATATCTCTAATATTACCCCTAAAGTTGATACACTGAAAAGATGAGATGAAAAGCGTTCAACTTAAACTAAAAAATAGAATGGTGACCGAGACAGCAACACTCTACTCTTTTATTTTGTTGGAAATTATTCAATCAGATTGGAATGATACTTGTCGAACCTATAACAGTGTAAATGTCAGGACTGTAGCTGAAAATACAGCCCTGCTGAAGTCATTGATGATGCATATTTGGTGATAAAACTCCCATTACATAACAGGTCAAAAATAAATATTCATGGAATAACCAACATGCATAAAAAAGTTTTCTAGCATTTCTATTTCTTTCTCTTTTTTTTTTTTGCACAATTTCTTGCTTGCGTTAGACTGAACATGGGCTGCATGTGTGAAAACTGCCCCTAAGCCAGATGAAAGATGTATTCTCAGGAATCAACATCAACCACCATAACAGGCCAGCAGGTAGCTCTTATTAACCTCATCAACATCTAGTCATTCTTCTCGGTCTACCTTCATACTAACAAAATAAACATTCAGCAATTTTGCAACCCCTTCATCCTCAAAGGATTCAACCTCCATTAGATGACACCAATGGCAGGTGTTGCATGAAACGGATAAGAAGATGGGCACTCCTCTCTTGCGAGCTTTCTCCTTGTATGAAAAATGAAGAACAATAAAAAAAACTGACAAACAAAGACACAAAGTGTTGGTCTTTTGATTCTTGAACAAAGGATGGTGAATTGCATGTGATCAACAGCATTAAGTGGAAAAGGATTGATTGCTCCAATACCATAAAGAAGTTTAAGAACGTGAAAGGATTATAAATAGATATAGAAGAGGTATGAAAACCAACACACCAATACATATTTGGCACATCGTGCCTACATCCATAGCCTAGATGCCAATGAGTTACAATTTACACCTGATATATTATTCTCACCATGTTGATAGGGTGAGAAACACACAAGTCAGAGACAAACTATCACCCATGCTTGTCATCATCTATTATTATCAAGACTATGTGGCTATTATTGGATCCTTCCACACCTCTAATACAACTAGAGTCACAAGAAACTTCACCTCTTATTTTTGAAAGCACAATTTTACTGCCAAATTGGGTAAACAAAGCAGTAATATATCAAATTTACAACTTAATCTAGGCAAATATACATATACTAGTTATTGCCTGTGCTGAAGGCACGGAATAATAAAAAAAAAATAATCAACAATAAATATATTTATATTCATATTCAAAATGAAATTACAAATATAGAGCAAAGAAAAGACTTTAAGCACCGGTTGTAGTGGGGGTGAAGGGTGGTAGTGGTAGTGGTGGAAGACGGTGATGGTTGTGATGGATGGCGACGACCATGGTGATGGTGGCAGTCATGAGTGGCAATGGTGATGCCGGTGATGGATTTTTTGTGACGATAGTGGTAGTGACAGTCATGGGTGACAACGGTGTTTGTTGTGGGCGAAGGTGATAGTAGTTGACAGTGGTGGTGGTGGGGCGACGACAGTGGTGGGTCGTGGTGGTGGACAGTGATGATGGTAGTGGTGGGTGACGACGGGTGTTTCTGAACAACAGTGTGATGAGTTGTGGTAAATAGCGGTGGTGGTGGTAAGTGTGGTGGGGGTGGGTGACGTGGGTAGCGACAGCGGTGGGCGATGACAATTGGTGGTGGTTGGTGGTAGTAAGTTTGATGGGGGTGGGTGACAGTGACTAGCGGCAATGATGGGTGGTAGTGGGTTATGATAGTGAGTGACGATGGGTGGTGGTGAACAACAATGGTAGTGATAGGTGTTGACGGTGGATGACAGTGATAATGATAATAAATATAAGAATGAGATAAAAATTATGGTGGGTGGTGACAGTGGACGACAGTAATAGCAATTTATGGTGGGTGGCGATGGTGGTGGGGCAGCGGCGGTGATGGGAGTGGTGTTGGTGGCGGCACCGGTGGTGGGGTGGCTCTAGTGGTGGTGGCAACAGCAGTGGTGGAGGTGGTGGTTGTTGTGGCAAAGTTGGTGACGAGGTGGCGGCGGCGAGGGCAGTGGTGATGGTGGTGGGGCGAATGGGGTGGCAGTGGTGGAGCCGTTCTAAATACTATTTTTTTAAAAAGTATTCATAAGTTGTTATAAATTCTAAAAGTATTTTTAAAAAATCATCTCAAACACAATCCTACAGACCTACTTTCTTTGTTAAATTTAATGTGTTAGTATTAGCCGTTGGATTAACTTTAAAATAAAATTTAAAGACATCTCATCTGCATAAAACAAAAGTCATTTTGTTTATTTTTCATTTGAATTGTATTATACTTTAATATATATAATGTGTGTGTGTTTAAAGTTTTTAAAGACCAAAACAGTGAAGTTCAAAACACAAGACAAGGTCTTTCAAGCACGTTTAAAAATATTTTGTACAACCCTTACTAGCAAGTATCAACTCTGCATAGAACCTTTCACAATTTTTTCTGTTGATTGTAGCTTACGATGCAGTGATAAAAAAACGCCAAATTTCAACGTCATTGCCAACACCCATGATGACTAATTCCCGGGCAAAAAAATAAATAAATTAGGAGTAATGATTGAAACTTCACAAAAACAAAGAAAACAAAAGAACAAGGCACTCACTTTGAATGTGACAAGAGAGACCTCCTACCAGGTGATCGATCAAAGCTACTGAAATCGTTCCCAATCAAACCCTGAAATGGTATCTTGGCAATTGCTGAGCTCGAAACATCGCTGGCTGATCCCAAAAACACAGATAAGATCAATAAAATGGATAATAGATGGATAAAATGGTGTTTCATCGATTAGATTAAAGCTGTACAGAGTTGACCGCAAATGATTAGTTGGGTCCGACGATTGTATATAAGATAAGAGCGTGTTGTTTATAAATTACGGCCCAGCATAGATGATGATGAATTACATAGACGATTGAGTCTTTGGAAGTCTAAGATAGATTTGGGAGACCAACAATAGGCGGAAACGAAGATTCGAGGCGTCTTCGATGTCTGCAATTCAAGGATATCCGAGTCGCTGAAGTTACCGCGTTGCTTCAGACGGTAACAGTTGTCTTGTTTGTCAGCCTTAAGTCTTAACGGTCCGGTTTAGGGTCTTTTTTTTTTGGGGCAGTTAACTTGGGGCCCTAAGCCATGTCTTAACCCCCCCCCCCC